AATGAATTGCATCTGAATAAAGGGGCTGTTCTCTGTAAACACTCAAACCTGTTAGTTGAAGTTGGAACCACAGCAGCACAAAAATGCTGTGCTATTGTGACAACTTTGTGCTGTGCATGAAACTGTTTAAACACATATACGGTGTGTATAACTGTAAAAGTCACCCTGGACTGGACTGAACCAGTAGGCTTTACAGTAAGCAGAACTTGCTCCTGTCCAAACTAAATAAAGGCATATAATCAGTTAATGCTCTGAATACACACGTCCTCAGCACAGACATAAACGTCCCACGGGTGCTGGTGAAAAGTTAGAAGTGACGAGCGACATGTGAAAAAACCTACGAGGCAGTGACTCCTTCCCACTCCACCAAGTACTGCACCTTGCCATCAAGGGTGACCCGTCGGGCCAGGACTTTGTACTTCTCCCCGCAGGCCAGACGTCCCGCTGCTCCAAAATAGTTGCTGATGGAGCTCTTTAGGTGGGTGAGCTGGCTGTTGGGGTCCATGCCGTGAATTATGTCTGCAGAGTGAAGCCCTGGGAGGGAGCTCAACAACTCTGTGGCTGAGGGGTGTGGGTCTGCGTAGCTGGGAGGGGGGATGTCTGGGGTGGGGGGCTGGGGGACCCTCCGTGGCCGTCCACGTTTCCGTTTTAAAGGTGGAGGGGAAACAGGCATGATGGGGGCTGCTGTACGCGTCTTGCTGGAGCTGCAGAGGCTGGAGGGTGTTTGATAGGAAAAAGAGGAAGTAAAAAAAATGCTGTTAATTCAAAGAGCAACAATAAAAAACCGACTACAGAAAATTAGGAAAACAAGGCTTTAAGGTCTACAGCCATGCAAGTCTGAGTTTGTACCCAGCACAATTCTACTTTCAGTGCAGAGCAAACATCAGGCAGGCATACCTGGACTGTCTTGAAATGCTAGTTGAGGTAGTTTCTGAAGTGCTCAGGGCGCCGATGGATTCCACATCTGAAGTTTTTAAAGACAGCAGAGACCTGTCACTCCTGGTGGTTTGGGGGAAGGTAAAAGATTAAAACATTATGGTTCTTGTTATGTTACAGTGAATCAAGCAAATCAAATAAACACATTGTGTTTATGATTGATAATTCAATTTGCTTTTGCCCGAATCTTCACCCTAACAAAGCTGAACAGTTCTGATTGCTTTAGAACTACAGTTTATAATTGCCTACTTACTTGACAGATGTAAAGTGATCCAAAGCATGGGGCTCTAACGGTGGCGGTTTCCTGATTTCCTGTCAAAGCAAAGGAAAAAGACAACAACAAAAAGACTGTTTCTTCTCATATAACACCAACAGTAAATGTCTAACACCTATACAAAATAACAATGCAAAAATACCCATCCCTCCATGCACACACCCAAGCTCACGCCCACTAGGAAACACACATGCAAACATGGAGACAGACCTGGGACGAGGGCTCACTGGAGCGTTGTGGTTTAGCCAGAGTCTCCAGAGAGCGTGCTCCTTGCTTCCTCTTTCTTTTCTTCTTTTTCTTCTTCTTCTCTGTGCCATTGGTAAGAGCACTGGGACTTCTAGAGCAACAACAAACATTCAGAACAGTTTTACATATAAAGGCAGTTGTGCCTGAAATAACAGTGAAACTGTTAGGCAGTTCATGTGTTATGTAAACTGTTAGGACACCCTTGAAAATCAGCTTAAAAAAGGGAAATTCATCTATAGATAGGAGAAAATTCTTAGCCACCCTATGAAATTTGGAAAACTTTGTCTTTATTTATTTATTTATTTTTTAAACAGAGCAAGAACTTTTCAAACATATTTCTAAACATATTTTCTTTAGAAATTAATAAGCAAATGATTTCAGGTAAAAGAAAAAAAAAAGAAAAAGAAATTAGGGACAAGTTGGAGAAAGTTGCATCCTTTGGTCAGATTAGATTAAACTAGAGCTCTTTGACTACAGAGATGCTGCTTTTGGAGAGAAGGGAGAGGCACAGAACCCTAAGAACACTGTCCCCACAGTGAAACGTGGAGGTGGAAGTTTTATGTCGTGGGGATTTTTCAGTGTCTGGATCTGGGTTTCACATCAAGGTCAAAGGAATAAGTAAGGAAGGAAGATGTGAAGATTTTGAAAGAAATCCTCAAGCAGTCAGCAGCAAAAACTGGCTCTTTGCTTCGTCTTCCAACATGACAACGACCCACGACATATGTTGCTCTTGGTAAAGAACGACCTCCACAAGACCAAAATGAGCTTTACTGACTGGCCTGTACAAAGCTCCGACTTGAATCCCACTGAAAATCTGCGGGGTGAACTAAAGACCAACATCCATTTGAGAAGACAATCAAATCTGGAGGCGCTTAAGAGATTTAAGATTGGGCTGGGATTGCTCAGGAGTTGTGTGCGAGACTTGTTGAAAACTACAACAACAACAACAACAACAACAACAACAACTACTGCATGCTGTTACCAAGCAAAAGAAGGATAACTGAATATTAGCAACAGGGAGGCTAATATCAATCCTGCTAATTTTGGTGAAATAGTCTTGTTTCATGTGCAAAGAAGAATCATTTCATAATTTGGAAAATCTATGTTATAACTTCCTCACTCTGTTTAACAGTAGTTGGAAAATAGTTCACAAAAACGGCTTTTTATAGGGGGGCTAAAATTCTGTCCTCATCTGTAGATCACAAGGGGCATTGTTTTTGTTTTAGAGTAAAACAAACAAACAAAATGCTCTTATAATACATAAAAAAAAAAATCACACTCTTAAATTAAATTAACAAGGTAAAGGGGCACAGCTAAAAAAGTTTTTTGGTCCTTAACTTCACCAGTCTAACACCAGCAATTTCTAAATTGTGCATGTAATGATGAACTATAGAAAAACAAATAACAGGAGTTTTATTAGCAAATAATCATCTCTCTTTTTTAGGTTGTATATAAAAGATGGAGAGGCTTCAAGGTAAAGTGGCCATTCTTTCTGGCCAGCAGGGGGAGACTCCTGTCACTGCAAAAGAAGTCACACTATATGAAAAGTCCATGACCTTGTGGCTCTACATCTCATTTTATTTATGACTTGACTAACGATTTCCCAACAGGTTTATATTTCAGTCACCAGTTTCAAGTCTACTAGTCAAGAATGCAACATGAGATATGACATGAACAATGATCCCATTTTGAGTCAAATCAAACATAAAGCAGTGCTCAGCGACCAAGTAAATTAAAAGTAAGTACAGTATGAGTGTTCTCAACTTTTCGGTCAGCTTCTCTGAGTCTTGTTTCAAAAAACACAACGTGGCAAGGAGCACCAAACACAAGGCTTCAAAATGCTATTTCAGAAACCAATGAAATGAATGAATGAATGAATGCTTTATTGGCCATATGCAGGTTGCCGCACAGAGGAATAGGACCCCCCCCCCCGACTTACACACACAAAAAGACATCACATGGGAATACAGTCGGAGATCGGCAGCGTTGGGAGAATATCACAGAAAAAATTACACAACAATGGGAAGAGTGCAAGAGGAAAAAAAGAGACCTCTTCTCACGCTCATGAGGGGGGGGATGTCACAACGGCTAGGTCCATCTTTTATAGACTGTCTACGGGCTTCATGGTGACATGATGGGAAAGTAGGGCTTTATGAAACAGGTACTGTATAGCTCCTGTTACAAGGTGTAGTTAACACTTTAACAGTAAATAAAGTGTTAAATAAACATTTTCACTGAGAAAAAAAGGGGAAAAAAACTACCTAGGTAACTTTAGTGCCTGCATTTGACTTATGTGTCACTTCTATTGCACTATAATACTACTGCTGGTGCTGCTACCACCTTAGGGCAACAGATTCACACTTCAAAATTAGCTTAGCATGTCACCAATGTCAGCACTTCACAGGAAAAAGATCATCGAAGCTGCACCCGGCAAGGTGCAATCACAGTTCAGTATTTTTTGGGCCCCATAGCGTCATAAATATCTTTATCCCAAACTTCCTTGAAAAATGGTGATACAACTTTCAGGCTTAGTCCCCCACCACTACTCTACATTACGTGCGCTAAGCTCCTCCCACCAGACAAGCATAATCATTATAAGTACTAACAATAAGCAGATGCCAACTTTTTGTTTTTTATTCTGAATCTCTCTTTAGATCTCCCTACATGGACCTAGCATTAATGAGTTCTATACAGGATCGGGTTAACACAGTATCCAGTGGGCACCTTTAACTTTAGGGCATCGACACGTTTCATGTCTAACCTGATGGCGGACAGTGCTTTAGTGGACTTGCATCCCTTGATGGTTATCTCATGTGAAGCCTTCTCCATCACTCTGCTGGTTGGCTCGTCACAGTTGGGGGGAACAGGAGGAAAACGGATCCTCAGGCCAAACAAGTGCTTCTTTTTCTTCACCTCCTTTCCTGACATGAACCTGGGACACGGTGAAAGGGTGGCCATGTAAAAAACATGGAGTCTGTGCAAATACTGGGAGATATTTGAGGCACTTTGATGTTGTCATCAGCATAAAGATTTCAAGAGCAGCAGATAAACTTACATGCAGCTATTATTGTTAAGCGCCTCCAGAACATTTTCATATCGTTCTGATCGTGGAGTGTTGGCGAGCTGTAGACACAGGAAAGATATTGTACAAGAAAAAACTTAAATATTTAAAAATCCAAATGGGGGCCAGGTTATTTCTATTTGGGAAATAACCCTCTACTAGGATTACCTAACAGTGTGGCTTTCAGACCACCAATCAACCTGATGCATTAAGCAGCTACAAAAAAAACAAAACAAAAACAAACAAACAAAACAAAAACAAAAAACACTGACTTGTGTGGCTGCCAATTCCTGACATCCTGTTCCAAATCTAACAAGTAAACATGGATGGGACATGAAATGAAATATGAATAATAGAAGAAAAAAATCTGTTGGTCTACAATTGGTCACTGGTGCATTACATAACTTATCCTTACCTCACCCAGCTGCAGCAGTTCCCAGTTATCATTGATGTACACCATCAGGTCCATTTCTGAGTCAAAGTACTTCTTCTTGTGGATCACACTCAGGTTGTAGAGGCTCAGGTGTGCGACATCCTTCCTGAAATATTTCAGTAAATACTGTTTTTCAGTCTGTCTTAAAAATAAAAATAAAAATACTAATATAAAGACACCAAATATGTTTGCTGGAGCCACAAGATTTAATTACAGAGGTGGAGTAAAAGTTTATCACAGCTCTCTAGCCCTGGGCGTCAAAGGTAGCAGAGCTTTTAAGACGAAGAGTAAATGCATGCTTGTGTAATTTAATAGAATAAAAAGCCAGCTGTGTGTGTCAAAGTACAAGTTCCTCTTACCAGCTGAGAGGCAGACGGCTGAGGTACTCCGGTCCACCATTGCAAACCGAACAAACAAACACATAAAACCTGAAGGCAAAAATAAAAAGGCCTCAGGAAACAAGAACACAATATAAAGTTTAACATAAAAACCTAGCTATGCTCTAGCTGACTGTCCACTGAGACACGTTTCTTTTTACCATTCTGTTTGTGTGCACGCACTTTTTCCAAAACTTGACTTAAAAACTGAATATTACCCAGAAGTATATTCACCATCATTTCAAGACCAGTTTTAATAGGCTGCCCTTGTTCTCCAAAGCCACACTTTTGCAGGCCATTGGGGAGCAGACTTGAATACGTACAACAATACAGTTAAGATCCACTGTCGAGGGTAAACATTTACATTAGAAGCAGTAAATATGGTCACCTATCTCCGTAGAGCATTGGCATCTGTAAGCAATGGAGACAGGCTTCGTGGAACCATTGCTGACACATGTTGCACTGCAGCATCTTCAGATACCAGCTGCAAGCAAACAGAATATGAACATTATAACTTTCGTGGACATGGGAACATTTCCATCCAAGCTTTTCACTCTTGCCAGAATATGCAACGTCACTTACTCTCCTGGACCGCCACAGTAGCAGTAGCACTGCTGGATGTTGGTTTTGTGGCCGTGGTCCCACACCAGCTCCTCCAGCACGTATGGGAAGGACAGGTGTAGCTCCATGTGCTGCGGCTCCTGCTGTTCCTGCTGCAGAAAGTCTTTAGCAGACGCCCCTCTTCTGTGTGGACCACCCGTCTGCAAACCAAACAAACAAAAAACATGTTTGTCCCACCAAAATAAATACATAAAAAGAAAAAAAATAAAATTTGGTAAACACATATAAAGAGGTGCTTTTTAAAGCTGGTAAGCTCTTTGGAAAATTTTTAATTTCTCCATAAATATTTGGGGATTTTTCAATAAATAAATGACCTTAGCATAGTTTAGCCTCATTCACTTAATTGGGTTTCTTAATCTTGGGACATTTTATTGTGGGATTAAAGCCTCAATCACTTTTATTCACTCCATTGGAATCTATGAAGTCTTTTATATCCACTTTGATTTACAAACAAAGCAAGTAATGCACTCTCCAAAACAGACATGTGTCATGTTAACAAACTCGTCTAAACCACTTGTTCAAGGTAAATGTTTGACGTATTTCTTCTTAAAGAAAAATCTGTACCTTAGCGAGAGAAGTGAGCTCACACTCTGAGCAAAGCCACTTGTCATCAGAGTCGATGACAGCAGCATCGATGACAGGGGAGTGACACCGCTGGTGGTAGCCTAAAACACAAATGAACACATCCGTAATGGCCAGAGATTAGAACACAACAGATGAATAAATAAACTACTGAGACTGGCTGTTTAAATGTGTTACAAATATCATATAAAATAACTGTTTCTGGCTTATGTTGGAACGTCAAAGATGATAAATGATACCTTGTCCACACTTGTCACAAATGACAATCTCGTTGGGTTCCTCTGAAGTTTCGTCTTGGCATATGGAGCACACAATGTCTTCGTCGTCGTCATCCTCATCATCTTCTTCCCCTAAACAGCAGCAAAGTCATGAAGGTAAGCGACTAAAGTTTCAGATTAATGGTGGTATGACTAGGGGTATAATTTAGAGCAGCTTTCAGTCAAACGAGGTCAGAGGAGTACACCGAGTCATCACAAGAACAAAAGACATCCCTCTCACAGCAATTTTTGCTGCTGTGAGAAGGACGACTCAAATTCACCCAGCTGAAACTAGAGAAAGGTGGCAGGGAAAATATTTTACAACCTGGATAAATAAAATCCAAACTGTCTGGTTATGGGGGGTGTGGGCGAAATCGCGCTTCCATGTCCCTGAAGGTCTACACCAGGATACTAGAGAGAAGATTCCGTCTACTGACTTAACTTTTGATTCAGCAGGAACAAAGCAGTTTTCATCCTGATTGCGGACAGTTTGCTGCCTTCATCCTCCTGAGGATATTCGAGGGTGTGGGATGTTTGTAATAACTACTTGTGGACCTGGAAAGTGGATTTCTATTCAAACCAATTTTTTTTCCCCTGTAGCGCCAAATCGCAGCAACAGTTGCCTCATATCGCTTTATCACACTCACACTGGAATAGAATTTATAATAAGATTTTGATTGCATCTCATGTGGTGAATCTTTGTCATACTTTTTAATATATCACAATTCAACTATCGCGATCAGGTTGAGGTTAAAAATAAATAAATAAAAAGTTATCTGATAAATGTCACAATGCCAAGAAAAATCTTAACCAGATACTTCTCACAAATCGTTTACAGTCAAATGTGACGAATGTGTCTGATCATAGCGTCTTTGTGTCTTTCATTAATGCTTTATTCATGACCCATCCCATTTAAGAATAAAAATGAAGAATACGTTTTTCTTAACACCATAATAGCTAAAGGGGCTTAAGTGGAGCGATAGCTGCCCGTCTGCATGTTAGCAATGCGCTGTGACTGTACTGATACACTCTACAGTTAACTGTCAGTGTGACGAGCAAGAGATAAGCAAGTCCAGGAAGAGGCAGACAGGTTTGCACAGCACAAATTGTGGATAACTGACTCCCTACCCTCTTTGCAATGGCTTACAGTATCTTTACTGCATATTATCTAGCAATTAAACTAAAATATATTGCACATTTTAAATTTCATTCACCTGTTTGAATATCCTTCCAAAGAACCCAAGACTTTGACCGATCCTCAAAAACCACAAAACATCGGTGCTTGTCCCGATCTATCTGAAAAACAAAACAAAGAAAGATTTACTTGTTTCCAGATGCGACAGGGGCAGATTTTGCTGTAGATGACCTATACTGATTTCAAGAGTTTTTCCGCCAACGCTCTCCACACAGTCCGTTTACCTGCATGCATCATATGCATCATCCTCACACTAACCTTTGCAATTGTTCCCAAGTAGAAAAGGCCATCTGACCACCGGGCCAGGACATCCTGTCCCTCTGAAAATCTGTCAGACATGCTGTCTTCTCCATACTCTCCCCTAGCAGAAAGGCTTGTGGGGGACAAGGACACAGCCTGCTGCTGCCGCTGCTGCTGTGGGGGATGAGCTCTGTGATGCACAGACAGGTGATCCACAACCCCTGAGTCTCTGAAAAACAGTGCAAGGCAAGAGAACAGAGGCAGACATGAATTTAGACTATGGAGTAAGCGGATATGGAATAAGTGCAAAGTTAATTTATGCGATTTTTTTTCTGTTTACTGTAAACAGATTGTAATTATTTATATTTGGTGTATTCTGATCCTCAAAAGAATACTAGTACAATTTAATGTATGTTATTGGCATTTTTTTTAACTGATAACAACCAGCAGAGTAACAGTCCTGTATGTGTAGCCCTCAAACACAAGGATGCATTGTGTGCTTGCAGAAGGGCTTACAAAAGAAAGAGTGAAACATGGCATTTCCTCTCCACTGGCTTTGAACAACAGGTGATTATACTCATAATTAGTGCTAATTGTTAATTATTAACCACATAGTAACATGGCTTCAATGCAATGAAAGACAAAAACAAAACAAAACAAAAAAACAGAAACCTAACCACCCTTTCAAAAATAAAGACCAATGTACTTACTACTGAACACTTCCATTCAACTACAGGTCTCAGTGACAGCTGATACTTTGATCATACTAATAAAACATGTCATATTTCTAGCTTCTATTGCAAATGTTATTAATTTCAGGTGTTAAGAAACTATTGATTTTTTTCCTTCGCCTTTAAACCCTGTCCTCCAATGCAGGCTTTCCTTTGTTCGGATAATGAGTGGACATGTTCAGTGCCAGCCACTTAGCAAAGATGAAAAAAGACAGCTTGGGATGCCGCTGCACGCTGATATAATGTCTTGTATATTAAATAGTAGGCAGCTGGGCGAGCTCAGCAGCGGGAATAATCCACATGCAAAGCCGTAACCCCAGCCAGGTCGCTGACCGTCGGACCCACACCCCCCCTAACGGGAGGAAAACATGACAACAATACCTCATTCGGTCACCTCCGTTTCCACAAACGACTCGTACGACAAAAATAACCGGACAGAAGAGCCGCTCTTATCCCGCTCTTCGAGCAACTGAATTCACTTCTAAAGCGTGTCGGGAAAACATGCGGGGTTTGTGGCTTCCTCAGAAAATAACAAACGGTTCATTTTCCCCAAGCAAGTTCGCCATTTTGGTTTCCCGCTGATGATCGGGGAGTGCATTATGGGAAGAGCTTAAACGACTGCGGCTGGCTGTCTGTGCCGCGACGCTCACATTTTTTCAAACATTTGAAATTGTAGGCAGGGCATTTAGTAAGCAAAACATATCCGCCCCTTAAAGAAGCATATTTTTTATTTTTTAAATTATTTTAGTCGACGTTTTTCTGGAGGTGTTATGCGTTAATGTCTGCCTAAGAGAGACGTTCTATATATAAAATATGTTTACTCAAAAACATCAGAAGTTTAACGACGCGATGTTTGATAAACTTGTGCAAAGTACGACCACTTCATGGCGCTACAACATAACATGACGCTAACAGGTAATTTTTAATCAGACCTCCTGGCCGGAAGTTGTGTGTAGCGTCTCCACAATAAAACCTTTATTTTGAAGGAGGAAGCGGATGTTTGTCTTCCCCCTCCTTGCTGGCTTGACCCGCTTGTACCTCCGGAGTTTCGCAAACACGCAATATTGACTCGCCGTTATCTGCAGAGGGGTTCTGGCTTCGGTGAGTGGGCTTGGACAGCAGTTTTGGTCAAATTAGTGGATCACGTGTAAACTTAAAAAAAAACACATCTTATTGGTAGAGTTTGCGCCTGCGCTCTGAACCTGCGTTTTTTCCCCCAGCTTCAACTATGTTGCTTTGGTTGGAATTCAGCAGCTGCTGCAAAGAGAGCCCAGGCGCAGGCAAAGTGTGCCGTCAGAGCGACTCACGCCGTCAACACAAACCGACAATCTGAGCTTAAAATCGGATAACCTGTAATAATTTTTCTGTGTTCGTCGTTTGATGCTGAACACGCTTTGTCCCATGGGTTTTTGGATGATCCCCCACAGCCAGGTCCACGTCTTGAGATGATCTATTTTTGTGATGGCGAAGGGTCTTTTTCCACGGGCCTGGGTGAAGAAGTCTTTCTACTTTCAGGTAAGATTGCTACCCAGGATCTGTTGTGTGAAGCGGATTGCAGTTTAAAAAAAATGAGGTGATGCTGTGGGATTGTTTGAGCTCGCCGTGGTGCCACATCACACTGACAGCTGGCAGTAAACGGGTACCTCCTCTTGCTGCTCGGTGTGGACATCAAAATACCTGATGAATGCAAAATGCAAAATACCTGATGAATGCGGGCCTGCTCTAGAAACAATAGGATCGTTGCCCTGGCACTGCTTTGTTTTTGACTGTAAAGATGCCAGGGCTTCCACTCAGTCTTTTCCTTGCCTTCAGCAGTGCCAGGGCAGCAGTAATTCCTTTGGGCTGGGTAATAAGGGTTGAACCTTCTGATTTGAGGAGCATCTGCCAGCAACTTCTCTCAATACAGTAAGGAGCTTATGCAAGAGGGCTGCATTTGCTCTTAAAAAGGGTAGAATGCTGTTGCATTACAACATGCACAACCGTCAGTTTAATGCAGTCTACTGAAAGCTGAAACATGTTGAGCTCAAAGTGTGAAACATGTTGGCAAGTTCAGCTCATTTCATCTGGCTATAACCAGTAACCAATTACAGTAAACAAGTGTCTCCTGTAGGCCCGTGGTTTAATTCAGTGAGATCAGTTGCTACTAAGCAACATGTCATCCTGTACCTGGCGTTGTTTTTTTGAGGCCTGAGAGGACATCGATCCTAGAAGAAAAAAAGGATTTTGCATGTGTTTTCACTGTATATTGTGCATGCAGTGTGCACATTTTGCACAACAATTAGGCAAATGTGTTCTATTTGTGGTCTACTCAAATCAGTTTCTCCCCATGTCCATGTATCTCAAACAAAAGGTCAGTGAAAAATGCAAACTGGCTCACAAATTTTAAGAAAAAGCCTCTCTAAGAACTTCTAGGAAACCTGTATGCTCATAAAGCCACCACGGCAAAATGTGTTCCTTATTGTCTTCCAGGTAGCAAGCTTACAGGGCAAGTTTCAGCAAAGCCATCACAGTTTACTGCAGAGCCGACATATATATGTCTCCTGGACCGAACTGTGCTGTCAGAAATCAAATAGCTCAGATGTCAAAGCCTGCTACATTTAAAAACCAGTTTAGTAAGACTTCACTGAGCACGTAAAGACACGTTTTCAATCAGGGAGTATTAGCCACCTTCAGTGCGTCACGTGGGATTAGAGGCAAAAACTGACAAGGAGAGCCAGCTCCGTCCTGAGACGCTCTGTGGATTTCAGGTGCGATGAAATGACAGTGGCCATCACCGCAAACCCCTCTACATGATATGGGCCTTTTGTCTGGGTAACTGAGACCATCTGTTGACAGACAGTGACACTAAAGCTTGCACTATGGATTTTGTGCTTTGTCACTTAGCTCAGTCGTGCACAGGTCATTCAGCTCTCAGCACTTAGTCATTTTATTTGACTTATCTTGTTTTGTTTATTTTATTGATTTATACCTTGAGGCTGCTATACAACTGCAAAACATGTGGAGTCTCTGTCCCTGTCTTTGTGATTAGTAATATAGTAATAAACACCTTTTTGACTCTTTTTAACCCTCATACGTGGCATCAGTTAGGTTTATGCATTGTTTTCCTAGTTAAGACATTTAGTACATATCAGGTGTCATTGCAAAGGATACACTGTAAGGGACCAAAGGGTTTGATGAAGGATTAAGCTCTGTCCTGCTCAGCTTTCACACACCCCACAGACAGTTCACAGGCACGCATGACTGAAAGTCACTTGCTTGTCATGACCATGGAGGGCTGGGTTGTATCCAACCTTTAATTTCCATGTGTGCACTTAGGAAATGTTAATTCCCTTTGCAAAGAGCCTCTACACATGCCAAGGCATTCAGATGTGATAGCAATGTTCACTCTTTATCCTTATCTCTATCTCTTTCGTGGAGGCCAACTGTCTATTTAGTCATCTCTTCAGGGCACACGGTGTTTAAAAGCAAAGCGGTCGTGCAGAGGAGACATCTGTCCTGCTCTGTTAAAAAGCAGCTGCTAAAGCTCAAATAAACTCCTGCTGTTGTCAGTAACAGATTGATGAAATGCACCAATTAGAGAGACAGGTAATTTGTTATTTTCCCGTACCCTAACCTCCTTGCAAAAATATTTCGCAAGATGCCTCAAATCTCAAAAGAATACAAATTAAGAGTAATTTGACCCTCTTTCTGTGTGTCAGTGCGGATCAGACGCTTTAATGTCTCCCACAGAGTGTATAAACCCATAACAGAGAGTTCTTCTGCTCTGTTTACATACTACAGTAATCATAGCACATGAAAGATAAAAAGGCTTTTGACTTGGTGCCTGCCACACTGCCAGGGTATTTTGCTGGGATTTGGAAACGGTGCTAAAGCTGAATGAGAGGCACGCCAAGCTGCCAAAACACACACGGCATAACCAGTTCCTGCCATGCAATCAAAGAGAAAAGCAAAATTACTTTATCCTCCCAAGTGCAGTTACAGTCCTCGGAGGGAAAACTAACTGCAGTTTTGTTTGGGTAAAAGTCGAGGAGTGTGGCCGACGAAGGCAGTCTGACCTAAATTCTTTTCCCTGCTCCACTCTGCCCTCCAACAGTCCTCTTTGCTTTATCTTTTTGCTTGCTTTTATTTAATTATTCTCTTAGTCTGTGTGCTGCCGAGAGGATCATTTCATTAACTGACTTCAGCGCAACAGTTTTCACAATTCTACTTCGAGACTCTTTGATAAGGCCGCAGACTTTTCTGCCATAGAAGAGATGGTGAAATGTGTAGCTGTGTTGTGTGGATTGCCATGATAGTTGGCTTAGCAACCTTTGGCCACAGTGACCAAAGAACAAATTAACGAATTATTGACACAAAAACTTCATGTTACCCCTCCCAGGGACTTTTGCGATCCTCTGACTTCAGCACCACAAAATCAGTATTTAGTATGTTGGAGTATGTTGGCATACTAAACTAGGGTTTCAAACAAGGTAAAAGTTATAGCTGCAAATCATTGCCATGTTATCGTTTTTATTGTTGCCTGCTAAAGTTACACTTTAACTCAAAGCACCACTCTTTATAAGTGTAGCCTCGCAGAGATGCAAATATAACACTGCTATAGGTTGGTAATGAAGCAAATAGTTACTTTCTGTATGTACAGCTGGACTGTATGACTAACTTGGCATTTAACTTGATCTTTCTTCCTGTTTTCAACAACTGCAGCTGTTTTTGTTTCTGATTTGGTTAATTTCAGTTCAGTTTTTTATTCCATTAGAGGTGAAAATCACCAGATACCACATGATACAATATTATTATTATATTTATCTAGTTTTGCAAACTGTGCCCTCAAAGTTGAACTTTGTCAGTGTCTGTTTTATCACAATAAGATTGGCAAGAATACCAATACTCACTAAAACCAGCCATAATTATTGTGAGATAGTCTATGATTGAAAGGGACCAAGTTGGCAATTAAGTGCAATCTATTACTAATAATACATCAATTAACTGTGATAAATCCTTTAAAATCACGTATCTGTTGAAGCCTGCATGGACTCAAATTCATTTTTAAAAGAAATTCACATTACATTTGCATTCAGCAGCCTTCCTGTTCTATAAAAATATAACCGACCCACAAGCAGCCAGCTGACTCAAGTCCTCTCGAATTGTGTTTACTGACAAAGACTCATTCAGACTGATGGCAGCATGTTGCCAATCTGTCTGCATTTATAAATCAGACAGCAATATTTTGCAGTCAGTCCAGGTCAGGCTGCAGCTGTTTGCAGAAAAGTTGCTTCCTATCTGGCAATCTGTGCAATCGCTCTGCGATTAAAAGTGGTTGTGAATGTGCAACACCCACGAGCTCTGAGCAACCATATCATCACCACAAGTTCCAATCGGTAACAGAATAAGAAAATTTTTTTTTATGGATCTAAGGGAGGTGTTATATTTTTAGTCCTTGACCGAGCCATTAGCTAGCTCTGAATTAGGAGGTAGCTCTCTGTAGCTAAGTGTGTCCAATGTTGTACTTTCACTTGAGCTGATTTAATGTAAGTTTGTTTGGCTAATCTCAGGATGGTCGTGCATGAGATTAGCCTTCTTATTTGGAGTACTCCCTGAGTATTTTAATTTATTTAGTAAAATATTGATATCTGGTGTCCATGGCATAATACTGGCATGGACAATACTACTGTTTTTTTGTAGTGTAGTTTTCTTCAGAAGTTTCACTCTGCCTGATTTTTATCACGATGGCAAATAACTGCATTAACTTTCACCGTGTCACAGAAATAACAGGACGTCTGCTCAAAGGGGCATTGTAAGACATGTGATGTGTGCATCCTGTGACTCAAGCAGTAAGCTGTTACCAGCCACAACTAAAATGGTATGTCGCGCTGAAAGAATGGGACTCCCAACTCTACAAAACATTCTCTGGCTTAATGAGCTATTGTTGCACCTAGCAATAAACCACACAACCAGTACCTTGTTACTGGACAAGGTACTGGTTGGTACTGGTGAGAGTCCCCAACTTTCACTATAATAACCTTTTATGTGATCAAAGCTGTGTGATTAGATCAAATCCATGGTTGTCTAACACGTTAATCCAGGTAATCCCAATACAAAGAAATGCAGGTTCATAACAAAATTAACTGCCGGGACCTTGGTACTGTAGAGTTTCCAGATCTGGATCCATCAGCGCAGTTTTGTTTCAACTCTCCACTCACAGGCTCGGATCTCCTTTGTGCGGGTGAACTACCTGTTCCTGACATGGCTGACTGTGCTGGTGGGGAGCTGGGTGTTCTATGTGCAATACTCCGCCTACACAGAGCTGTGCAGAGGACACGAGTGCAAGAATGCCATTGTGAGTGACTGCAGTAGTTTAGAAGAGACCGTGGTTTGAAAATTGCAAGAACTTGTCTCAGAAATCTTTGTGGCTATTAAGAAAATGTCACCCGTGTTAGAATAATAATTGTGCTCCTCTTTTTTGTTAAAGTGTGATAAATACAGGAGGGGGATCATCGATGGGTCTGCTTGCAGTAGTCTGTGCGACAAGGAAACACTGTACATGGGCAGGTGTCTGTCAACACTGCCAAACAACCAGGTAGGCGACCACTGTACTTTCCATTTAGATTACTGTGTGTAAAATCTCACTGGTAGATGTCAATACATGACTTCTGTTTTCTTAACACACCCAGTTGAAATGAACAAACCTAGCTGGTTGCTGTAGGACAAACAGGTTTTAGTCAGCCAAGACAAACAAATACGTCAAATTTAGACTCTACTCCATAACTGCTGCCATGGGCCGACATGTTTCTTCCACTGTTTCTGTATATAAACATTTTTCTAAACACTGTTAGAAAACCAACACATAATAATGAATTATTAATAAAAAATTTTTTTAAAAATGTGCAGTATTTTTATGTTTTTACCCTCAATGTCACCTCAAAAACTCAGGACGTTCATTTGTAATGAATGTAGGCTGTCGGCCCCCTGTTTACCACAGCAAGCAGTCAATAGGCTAGCGGCCCACCTGTATTTACTTTGGAGGAGGCTATAAAACGTTGTGACAAGAGTCCAATACAGTCGATACAGTGGAGTTCACTTTTGACCGATGACAGTGATACTGAGTCAACTTGTTGAAGATATCCTGGACTTTTTGTCAGTAAGCACAGATTTTATTGCCACTGTTAGCCTCTGTCAGCTTCTATTAGCCTCTGTTAGCTCACCTAGTAACTATTTTTCTTGCAGGGTATTTTTTACATTTTTTTTCTGTTGTGGAACATTTCTCTACAGCCATTTTTTATACAGTACATAGAAACATTTAAAGAATTTGCAATTGTAGCTATTTTTTAGATTTATTAGCTCTGTAGAATCCTCTTGATGCATGCTCAATCATCCAGGTATGTAGATCTCCAAAAGTTGATTCTGTTCATCTGGACGTAGCGTTTCCAGTGGGAGAAACGTTTCATCACTCATCCAAGTGACTTCTTCAGTCTCAGCTGACTGCAGGCTTCCCCAATCTTATAAACAGTGCATTTGCATAATGACTGAAACTAGTACCACTGAAGGAACAACGGGCTGGGAGGTCACCTTCATCATAATTATGCAAATTTTCATGACCATTGATCAACAACCACTGATCAATGGCCATGAGTTCCATTCACAGAGAGTTGGGGAATGGCTGCAATCACAGCACTTTAATATGGCGAAGGATGTAACCTTACCCTTATGTGAAAAGGGAAAGACCATCTCTGAATCAAGGAGGGGGCCTAAGGGTACATCTTTCACCATCTTACAATGATAAGATTGGGGAAACCTGCAGTCAGCTGAGACTGAAGAAGTCACTTGGATGAGTGATGAAACGTTTCTCCCACTGAAAACGCTACGTCCAGATGAACAGAATCAACTTTTGAGACCTCTGTAGAATATTAAAGAATTTCTTTTTTCTGAGAGTTACATGAAAAGTTTATTCTTATATGAGTTCTCATTAGCAAAGGATAAAGATGAGTGATCGGTCAATTATCCCATTCTGCTTTTCATTAGGTATACACAGGAAGCTGGGGAGACCACGATGGGATCATCCACTGTAAGCTGGGGGAGGTTGTGCACTATGAGCTGGGTGAGGAACCAGAGCCACGGAGGGAAACCCCAGTGTTTGACAAGCCTACGAGAGGCACCTCAGTGGAGAAGTTTAAAGAGATGGTCTTTAATCACCTCAAGGTAAAAGAGGTCAAGTCATAAAAGTTGTGATGAAACTAAATCTGTGATTTAGCCTGAAACAGCTTCTCTCATTCTCTATCCACCAGTCCAAGCTTGGAGAACACGCAAACCTTGCTAGCCTCGTCAGCCAAATCCTCTCTGTCGCCGATGGCAACAGGGATGGACGGGTGTCACTGCCAGAAGCCCGCTCTACATGGGCCCTCCTGCAAATGGATGAGGTATCATAAGTTCATAATAATATAATTAACAGTGGAGAACAGTTTTCTGAGGCTTGATGTTAAGGCACTTTCATCCTCTGCTCTCTGAGGTGCTGCTGGGTCTGCTGCTCCAGGACAGAGGACACACTCCTCGTCTCATCGGCTACTGCGGGGATCTCTACATGACGGAGCGTGTTCCCTATGGACCCCTGTACGGTTTATCTCTGCCTTGGCCTCTTGTTTCTTGGGTTCCTAGTGGTTTGCAGCGCTCCATGGACCAGTGGTTCACCCCCTCCTGGCCTCGCAAAGCTAAGATCTCCATGGGCCTGCTGGAGCTCGTGGAGGACATCTTTCACGGCACCTACGGGAGCTTTCTGATCTGCGACCTCACTGCGGCACACTTTGGTTACACTGACCGCCATGAGCTCCGTCTGACTAACACCCAAGCAGTGGTTTCCGAGGAGGAGTTCAGGCGCACCATGCGAGCACTGAAGTGCGAAACAGATGCCGACTGCATTTACGGGGCAGACTGCCACACATCCTGCGATTTGTCAGAGAGGCGATGCAGGGAGGAGCCATTCAGGCCAAACTTGGCGAAGGCTTGCGAAGCGCTGAAGGACTACCTCCTGCGGGGGGCGCCATCAGAGATGAGAGAGGAGCTCGAGAGGCAGCTGTATGCCTGCATGGCTCTCAAAGGTAATGCTGGACAGATGAACATGGAGCACTCACTTATCCTCAACAACCTGAAAGCCCTGCTGTGGAAACAGATCTCACACACCAAGGACTCGTGACAAGGAGGGGAAGTCACTCTGAAGGAGGAAATGGGTATAAAATAGGCTGTGATGTAAGAGTAGCAAACTTACTAAAGTCATTTTTAACTAACACTTAGGAACGGTCACACATATGGATGAATGGATGAAGCTGGAGGCCGGAAAAACTTATTTTAAATGATTAAATGACTGCATGTTACCGTCAGTCACGCTCATAGAAACACACATTGTGTATTGTATTGTTCACTACAGTGAAATGTCATGAAAGCACTGCTGGAAAAGAAAATACTTGTAGTTTTTACTGAAAGTCTCAAAAGCCGAGAGACTGAATTGCTGTTTTTGCCACAAAAAATCATGCTGATGAGTGCGCACTACGCTGGTAAAATAATGATTGTAAAATCAATGAACATCAATACCACAATTTCATATTAAAACCTAGAACTTGAGGGAGTTTAGGATAAGGGTGGACTTTTAACAAAGGACTTAAACAGACCTAAAAACCCAAACTGTGCTGTAGTGTCTAAACAAGAGTTTTCACATATTACTACTCATTCGGTGGACGATCAGCACTTCTAGAAACATAACTAAATCTACACAGAAGCAAAAATAAATCATAGTTCTTATGTGTGTTATCACGAAAGAATGTGTCACCAAGTGCAACAGTGCATGCGTTTCATAAAATTGTCTAAAAGTCGGGACTATACACCGGATGTCCTTCCTGACGCAATCCTACAGGGATCTGTGTCGATCTTTCACTCGTTAGCCAAATGTGCAAAGCATTATACTGTGGAGCTACTAATTGCAGTAGAGGAGAGCAGCGCAGATGCTGTAATTTTATATACCAGGTGTTTTAAATGGGTGACAGGTCTTGAATCCGTGCAGGTTAGTTCTATGTAGCCAGCTGTTTAAATGCACATAGAATGGAGTTTGGCGTCATCTGAGATAAGCAAGGCCTTTGTAGGGAAAACCTGGGAATAATGTTCAGCATTAATGGTGCCTTCACAGATGTGCAGGTTACCCATGCCATTTGGATTTATACCCACATACTATCATGCTGATTTTACTTTTTTAATAGTATACTGATAATAAGTAGTACTGTACGATTCAGTACTACCTCAGCAAGCTGTTGAACAGAGATTTCTCTTGATTCCCTCCAACCTTTATTGTTTGTCTTAAAGAAGCTACTTTTGGATTTTCCCTTATTCACCGGGGCTCACCATAGTGGGGCAGCACAATTGATTCAACAGGTTGTTTTTTTTTTAAATGCAGGTTGCTGATTTTGGTCCTCCAAACACAATCTAAAGGTTTAGCGATACATTCCAAGTCTTGTCTTAGTGCTGGATTTTTAAAAAATGTCACTCATCTGCATGATAGACTGAGACAGTATCCTGTATGGCCGATGTGAAGGTATCCACAGAAGTCTGGCTGTCTTATCAATGTGCATCTCCCACTTGTGAAGTCACTGCTGCATCACTGACCCACCCAAAAAACTAATGTATTTAATTTGTGAATGTTTGCCGTTTGTATTTTCCATTGAAAAGAGCATTTGTGGTAACGTACGGCATTATTTATGGATTTTCACATCACAGTGCCATAGAGTTCATGCTGGTCCTTTTTATGAATGTTTACAGTTTGTGCAAAATATAAAATCTTGTGCTCACGTGTCATGCTGTGCAAAAGGTTTTCCATGACTTGTCACATGTTACTGAAATGAACTTACTACAGCTGGATGTGTTAAGCCACTACAACGCAGATCAGACTGCTGCTGAGTTTGGAAACTTTAAAAAAAAAAAAAAGTTTACTTAGAAATGAAGAAAAACAAAACAGCATGATTTTGCACAAATAAAATGCATACCACTGCACTGTTTCCTTTTGAGTATTTCAGTCCTGTCAGTTAACAGACACCATTGTGGTTCAAACATGATAACAGATGAGTAATTACGAGTCTAACTTGAGGGAAAGGAGCGACTCATAATACTCGTGACACAGGACAGAGACGGCGTGAGTTTCAAATAAATTTATTTGTCTGCAATGTGAGCTGCATTTTCTCTGCAGAGGCCCTAACCGTCCCCTTCTTCTTGCTCTTGCGCTCGTAAGAAGCTGGCCTTTTTCTGGGCGACGCGGTCCTTCCTCTGTGCCAGAGATAACTTGGCGCGATTCCACCTGCCCGGAAAGAGACGACGACAAAAAACAACTCCATTAACATTCACCACACGAGAGAAAAAGTAACTACTTTGTCCTCGATTTGGCATGAAATAAGAGCAGTTATTGTTCCACGATGGTGACTGTCAACTCACCTCTTCTTCTTGACGTCTTTTTTGGGTTTCTTTTGGTGTACGGGGTTCGCTCTGATGGCGGCGTGTGCTTTTTTGTACATTTCTTCGACCTGAAAACAAAACAGGAATTTAATTAATGACAAAGCTGTTCATTGTGTACCTAATAGATTGTCGTTTGTCTTGAAAAAAATAACAGGAAACATCAGACGACATTGTCACTGGAAAGAGGGGAGGGGGGGTATTGAATTGATATACTAATTCAATACAGTCTACATGTAGAGAAGCCCATACTGGATCTTTGTGAGATCATCACTGCTATGAGTTCAAGTTTCCTGTTTGCATTTGATGCATTCAAATTAGATATTTGACATGCAAGCAATATTTAAATTATGTTGATGTAAACATCACCAAATGATCAAATCGCAGAGGAAATGTTCATCTACATGATACATAACAGGTCAGACTTTTCTTTATTTTTATATAGTGCCAAAAATAATTGCGGTCAAGCTTTTTCTGCATCACTGAGTTGAACACCACTTCGAGTACTGGAAACAGGAAACCAAATCTTAAATGCATCTGAGAGTGTCACCTCAACATTACATGATTTAAGCAGACACGAAACTAGCTAACAGAATCTGTTCAGGCCGTGTTCGTAAAAATCACGCAGCAAGTGTTATGTTACCATGTCTGGAGTGACTCCGTTCTTGATGAAGCGCGAGAACTGTTTCTTGTAGGCGTCCTCGTCCTCCTCCATCAGGTAGGACATGTAGTCGGCCACGTTCATGCCCATGATGTGTTTCCGATGCACCTCTGCGTTGAACTCTTTACTCTCTGTGTCGTAGCCGGGGAAACGTTTCAGACTAAAAAACAGAAAGTGTGAAGAAACTGAGTTGGGCTATTAAAAGACGCCTCTGAAGAATCAAGTTTAAAAAACTAAACAAAAACCAGACAAAACAAAAACACAAGGTTCAAGGTAGTTCTGTTCTTTGTTGTGGAACAACGTGTTACAGCTGCTTTTTGTAATCAACCTCTGTGAAGTTGAACTGTCGCCATCAGGGGGCAGCGTTTTACCAGTGAGTGCTGAGATGGTTGCTGCTGCTCCAACTTTGCCTTCTCACAGGCAGCGACCGCAAGGCCTGATGTAGACTTTTGCCAGTGATCTTTTAGCCATTTCCCACTATTACCTACTGGGCTTGACTCAGTTCTGCTCTTTTCCCCATTTCAAAACCACCTCAAGTTTGATTTTGACTTTGCCTAGTAACCAGAAATCCCTTTTCTCCCTACATGGGAACTTTCCATGCCATGCATCTCCCCCGACGTGTAGTTACATTTCTCAGGTGGTGCATGTCGTGTTACGCCCCAATTAAGGTTATAAATGGTCACTGGCTATGGTGCAAGTTACAAAGTAGATGTGACGCAGAAGTATAAATCGTGTGTATTGTGTGTTGGGTCGTCAGAGCAGCACGTCCAAAAGTCTGTGACCTCATTTGTATGCGACACAACAACAACATTGTGGTGATGGTACGTACACCTGATGCTCGGTATATGGCATTTTGTCAGTCTTAGGGACTACAGTGGGGGGGGTTTTGTGCAGCCATTTTCCTCATTGCCGGGTTTCAACAATAGTGGCTTTGATTTTCGTGAGGGAGTAACTCTCATGACTCATGGTGTGACACTACTGACTAGCCAATCAGTGGCATGCAATCTGTTTGCGTCACACGCCTCAGATCACTTGAAACCACGCCCAAGCAGGTACTAAAAAGTACCCAGAACCTGGAACTACCACCTAATGGCAAATCCTAAAAACGGTCCCATCCTGCTTCTCTCAGCCCCGTCTTGAAAAGGACAGTAAACATCAGCTAATGCAAATGAAGGACCAACTACATTTTGCTCAGCGTGCTTTTTATCATCATCGAGAAGCAGAGATGCACCAGCAAACTAAACGGACAAACTTTAGCTGGACGGAGACCAGCGAATAACCACGTAAACTAACTGGAAATATGCGATTGTAAAAATGTCTCAAAGAAAAACATGCACACATTCCTGTTTCTGCGCATGTTTACTGCAGGAGTGAAGCTGCAAAAAAAGTCCACCCGAATGCAACTCTGACATCATACTGACCTGTGAGGAATGGCAAGTCCACCGTCCACCGCCCCCTTTAATGCTCCAAACACCTTGTTCCCTGTAGTGGTTCTGGCCAGACCTGCGTCCAGATAACACGTGAAGGCGCCTGGTTGTCCATCCACGCTCTCTACGTTGAACTCATCTCCCGTCACCTCCACCTGGCCCTCGTACACCTGGTCCATGCCGAACTTTTGCAGTAGCTAGGGAGGAGGAGGATGAAGGCGTATGAGAGGATGTGCAAAAACATAAATCTGCTCCAATGTATGGCAACATTTGTGTGTGTGTTTGTACGCACGCTTACCCTGCGAGCCAGCAGCAGCCCGGTGCAGTAAGCAGCAGCATAGTTTGTAAGGCCCACTGTGATACCATACTTGGCCAGCTCATGAGAGTAAGCAGCACAAACGATATGGTCTCCCTCAATCTTCGCGTAGGCAATCTGGACAACGCAGACATAGCAAGATAAGACAGCTGCTTAAAAACACGTGACCTCTCAAGTTTGAGTCTTTCTGTCACTGACCTGGCAGCAGATGTCCCTGTTGGAGAACCTGACAATCATCCGGTACTTGGGGGTGTTGTACTTGTTCTTGTCCTGCACAACCAAGCGTTTGCGGGCAAAATAGTCGGTTTTCCCCTCTGTCAAATAATAAGTAACAGCATGTGGTTTAATGGCGTATGCTCCATAGAAAGGGGATCTGAGCCTATGTGCAATTCATGTTGACTTTTACCTCTCCTCCTCCTGAATTTGACTTCGTAGCGCTTGAAGTAGGCCTTGTTCTTCACCACTTTGACGAAACCCTGAGAAGAGACGAAGAAGCAACATGTCAGCAGAAGCAGAAAATACCATAAGTATCAAGCCTCCAGTTGTCCCTATGGGCACAAAAGCTGTTTAACCGCTCGGAGTAAGTCTCCACGAGGAGGTCAGCTGAGGTTTCAGCAGCCATGAATCGCCACGCTGGAGCCAAGCGGCTCACCCGGCCGGAACAGCCCGACAAGCCGCAAATATCCAGCTCCATCTGTCCCTCAAACCGCTTTAGACACTCATCTAACTACAAACACACCTCCACAAACTCAAACCGTCTCCACGCGGTGTATATGAGCTTTATCCACTCACCATTTTGGGGTATTTTTTCTTCTTCTTTCCCCTCCTGCACTAACTAGCGGACTCCGGGACACGGAAGTCTGATGTCGCTATCTTTGGGGGGTTTTTCCACGGAGTGTCGCGGGTTGGCAGCGCCCCCTGCTGCACCGGAGACAAACAGCACAGGCCAACAGAGGGCAGCAGCTACACGGAGAGCACAGGTCTGTGGAGGGCCACAAATACATCACATAGATCATTAAATAACTGTTGTGTCATTAATGAATTAAAATGGCAAATATATTATTTTTTGTTAAATGTTTTAATTATATAAATTAATATTCAATTAATTATTTTTGTAATTAATAATCCACTTAGAATAAGGAGGGTGAGTACCTTGGTCATTCCAGAGGGATCAGAGGGAGTAGAAGTGCTTTTCCCCCCACATTAAAACGAGTCAGTTAAGTTGAGTCAGGCATCTGACCAGGATGCCTCCTGCATGCCTCTAAGTGAGGCAGTCCGGACATGTCCTGCTGTGGGCAGACGTAGGACTTGTCTGGCTTGGGAAGGTCTCAGCATCCTCCCTGGATGAGCTGGAAGGAGGTGGCTGGGGTGAGAGAAGTCTAGCCTTCTCTGTTGAGGTGCTGTCCCCACAAACTGATCCCAGATAGGTGGTAGAAAATGGATGGATAATAATAATAACTTCATTTTGATTGCATTTTTAAAAAGCATAGTTAAAGTGCTTCCCAATTTGAATAAAAGCAGCACATTTAAGTTAAATATACCTGAGAAAAATCTTTCATTAGATCTATAAGAGATTATTACATTTTAAACCAACGCCGTAGAAAGCAGGATGACATTTGCAGTGTGTCAGGATTTTAAATTTACACAGAGAAAAGAAGAAAATAGGAAAAGCTTTGAGGTGACATGCGCAGGGCCACAGCAGCCCTGCGCATGTGCTGTCCACAGACACTCTGTGACGCCAAGCGTCTGATGTGATAGCACATTTTTGGTGACACATCCTCCACGATGGTGAAATCAAGACACGCAATACAATGTTGATGCATCGAGCTGGAAACGAGTCTGCCGGGAGGGTGGACTCTCAGTCCCCAGAGAGGTCACAATGTCTGAAAGCTGAATCAGAATCTAAGGTAGATGAGCTGGCAGCCCAGTGTGCACATGCAGTTTGTGTGGCCTCATTTACATTAGTGTTCAGGCCTCACAGTCTGCTTTTTAGGCTCCTCTGACTTCAGTTTTCACTGCTGTGGGCGTTGAGTCCTTCACTTGTAGTATATTGTAAGAGAAATCTTTCACTTTTCCTTGGCAGTCGTGGAGCTATTGTCC